TAGCGGCCCCGCACAGTTTCGAATTCAAATTTTTACCAGGCATTTTTCGAGTGGGATTTGTGCGGGCGTGGTTTGCGTGGGGTGTGCTCGAGACGGTATTTCGCAAGAAGGATTGGAGGCGTGGTCTGAGCATCAGTAACGGACAGCTTATTAGGCACGTACTCTTCGCGGATGACATAGTTCTTATTGCAAGCGGTGCTTATTCGAAATGAATGAGATGCTGCAGGAGCTCAACGCACGAATTAAAGAAGCGGGTTTGCAAATGAATGCGAGGAGAAGGGAAATTATGCAAAATACCGATATGCCCGTGATTGCTCTGTAGGTGAATGGTGTTGACTTAGTAGTTTTCGGCTTGTTTTTTCAAAATACTTTATCACCGCCCGAACTGTGCCCGCAAAAATGCTTATTTGGAAGCAGTCATCACTATATTATTACTCTTATTGGTGTGTGATAGGTGTGATAATCGACTTTTCTGTTTTTCTTTTTTTTATTTACGTGTTATTTCAGCGTTCGATTAATGGCAACTTCATGGGCAAGCGGTAGTAGCAAACAGCAAGGTCGTGCTTCGTTTAATGCCCGCAAAAAGAAGAGTACTCAGGACGTCGCGGTAGCCGAAAGCCCCTTTCAAAAGTAATCAAGAGATTTTTTTGTGCTTTGGTAGTAATAATAATTATTGTCTTTTCATTATTATAATAATTGTTATTATTATTTTTTATCGCTATAATTATTATTGGCATAAAATGCCTTTTTTGTAATAATTATTATTACTTATCATTTTTCATGTTTTTTTTTCCTTCTCAAATATCGAAGCCAAGTGCCTCTAGAATGATTGCCCTGGAAGCTGAGGAGTATTAAATTAAAGTCAAAAAAAAACCCAAGGATAATATGAAGCTGAATATGACGTTCAGTTTCAGACGTGAGTTTCGTCTGAGTGATTTTGACATTGGTCGACCACTCGGCAAGGGCAAATTTGGCAACGTCTATTTGGCCCGTGTTAAAGAAAAGAAGTTCATCGTGGCGCTAAAAGTAAGCTCGCACTTTTATAGAAAACCTCGCTCGATTGTTCATCAAACTGACCGCGGCTTTTCGCTCCAAGAGCTTGCCTGAGGGACACACTAGTGGCGGTTTTGACTCTTTGGCCTGTGGATTTACCACAAATTACGCCATCGAAACGAATAGTACAATTTTTTCGCTAATCATTTCTGGTAATATATTTTCAGGGGTCAGGGGGATTGATTTTCCATCGGGCTGGGAGGAGGGGCTGTAGCAGGAGAAGGGGGA